CATCAGTTGATGAACAATAAGCTCGACTCTGGCTATGTAGTGTTGCAGTTTTCATCACCTTCCTGGGCCTCTGACGGTACTTTCCACCTGCGGCTTCGCGGTGGCCAGGATGTCGCGGCCCGGGGGTGTCACGGTCCGGGGCGGGTATCCAGCCTGCCGTTCGGACTGGGCGAGTCTGCCGTCCACATGACCGGTCTGCCGTCCGGTACTCCTCGGACCATCCGGTACCAGCTGTTTACCGGTCCTCAACCGCCGGCCTGGCCCACTTCTGAGCCGGCACAAGAATGCGATTTCCCCGGGCCCCATTGTTTATTCCTTTCTGTGCCCTCTCGCTCTCACAGAGAGCATTTCCTTGGTCGGGGAACACAACAACATGCCCTGACGGGCCGCGCCCGGGGCGGGCGACATCCTGCTCCGAGCGCAGCCTTCCGCGCCGCCGCGCGCACCAGTGCACCAGCGCACCAGCGCACTGCCGGGGCTGGACCAACCAGAGCCACCATCACCACTCCAGGTGGTGCAGTTACCAACTGGCACAGCCGCCATGGCCGGAGTCGCAGAGGGACAACCTGTTTGGTGTGGTGATCTGGAGTCGCTCAAAATGTCTCAAAATAGACGCAGCAAGTGACAGCGCTGTCGGTCGAGACGGGAACGTAAACGTCCTCTGTCCTCTTCTCCGCCTGGTTTTGCTGACAGTTCGCATGGTTCGTCTGGTTCGCCTGGTTCGCGTGGTTCTGGCGTTTCTACTGCGTCTGTTGTATTCTACCGCGCTCGAGAACATCCTATATTCGACTTATTCTTACTAGCTGGGGCCGGCCGAATGAAGCTGTTTTACCGTATATGATTCAAATGATAAGAGGCTCAAAAAAGCATTTTCATGAGGCCACATACGCTATGTGGTTTATTTAATTGCGTTAAATGATGTTCATTGCTGGACGCAGTTACAAAAACATATCAAACGGTATTTTAAATGAATGTCAAATGAAATGTCATTTATCACTATCGGATAAGGTTAAACTTTATGATAAAACGTCATATTTTTGTACCTTATACTTTACTTTGAATGCATTTTGAATTTATTCAGTTGTGTATATGTGGGATTTACGTTTAAAAGCAATGATTTTAAATTCATTTGATTCTCTTCGTGAAGCACCATAATTGAGCTTATTTACTCTTTGCGATTATTACGGTGGATAAATGGATCTCGTAAAAAGAAAAATAATTCAAACAAACTTAGGTATCTGTTCACTTTGTGGTTACTCAGCATCAAAAGCAGAGTCGCACTCTATCTTCCGTCCGATCTTAGCGGGCTACCCTACCGAATTAGTCCCGTCCCGGTCCGGCAATCCCTCCATGGCCCACCGCCGCGCCCGTCCCGCTAGACCGGCCATGCTGTCACCCTTTCGAAAGTGTTACACGCAAACGCCCACATCCGCACGCGCTCCACGCACATGCGTCGCTGCCTGGGATGTGGGTCACCGTTTTAACCCACTTTACCCCACAAACAAACAACAATGGCGGAGCGGGCGGCGGGCGGCGGGCGGGCGGCGGTGGCGGCGCGGCCCGCAGAAGGGTTGTGCGTGTGCGTGTGCGTGCGTCGCCGACGTGTCGCTCCCGGTGCGGGCCTGCTCTCGGCTGTCGCCTCACTGTCGCACCGTCCGTCCGTCCGTCCGTCGCCGCTCTCCGTCGGAAGCTTAGGTGAGGACACATTGGTCTCCTCAGAGTGAACTTTCAGTTTAGTGTGGTGTTACTGTTTTGAATTGACACGCATAAACATTTATTGCATTGTAGTGCAGTGTACCCTGTTTAAAAAGGAAATATTCCTTATCATGTTTATTTTTATACGCAAGGTAAGTAGTCGAATTTTTTTTAGCTAATTGACCATATTGATTGTTATAGTCGAGGAGGTATCATGGAGCTTCTTTGAAGCCTTTAATTGCATTTTGCATTTTTACATGCATAATTAAATCATGCACATCATTAGGTACGTGCCGGTGCTTTATTTCATTATTCGAATGAAATGCTCTCTGGAGTCGTTAGTCCATTTTACACTCCATTCGGTACCTACTCCTTATTGGAAACAATACCAATCGGATTTAAAAGTGTCTTGATTTTGCGTAACGTTCATTTTAGTTTATCTTCTACTTTTGACCCGACCGCTCATTCCTTCTTATATTATTTTATAGATAAATGTGTTGCTAGTTTTAAGCGAATACGTTTTATATTATTCGCAACGCTTCTGCGATTAAATATATGAGAATCGTTTGTTAATACTTTTCTCATATATTTACCTTTAAAATATATCATGTGTCGTCATAAATCATGCGTAAAAATTGTTTTTATATTATTAGCTCTATCATATATTTTTGTTTTTGATAATTTCATAAACCGGTATACACTGAACAAAATATCCCGGTACAATTACGTCCGGCTATTGTTGGTTCGCTGATCGTTATTCTTTTTGCTGGTTCTCGTTATGAAAATTCAGGAAATAATATCGAGAGCTAACACAGTAGAGCTACAATTCGAATGTAATTGACTCTCTGAAGGTGGACTATAACGGTTGAAAAAGTGATCCCATATATCCCAGTTATTAAATATGGCAGGTTCTATAGCGATTAGTCACACACTCGCATTATTTTACATTTCCTGTGTCATTTTTCTGAACGCTTTTCACTGTAAAATTCGGAAAGGTTTCTTCATTCGGTTGTAGTCTCCTTGTGGTGGTATGAAATTGCTTAGCAAGTATCTGAAGAAGCATTGCTTAGTTTCATTTCTCAGTCAAACATATTCCCATCATTTGCCGCTACCTCCGCTCGTGTGATCAGCTGTGCTCGCTTCAGTTCTGTCCCCATGGTGCCACCCCTCTCGCTGCTGATGGCCCGCTCACTTTCGCTAACCATATTTGCCGGCTGCCGTCCGTCCGCTCCTTCCGCGAATCATACGCGCCGCGGGAGGCAGCTTTCACTTTTGACGACTATTTCGGTCCGCGGCGACAGGGAGCAACGGCCGGCCACAAAACGCTGTCCGCGAGCGGCGCAAAGGGTTCGGTCCGCACTACCTACAGCCGAGGACGGGCTGGAAAACACCCCATATACCGGGCACGTGTCGCGCGCCGCAGCCGGCCGGCGCACCGCCTGTTCCGCTTCCCGGTCGGCACAGGTGGGGCGGCGCCCGTTCGGCCGCCTGCCCGCCTGCCCGACTGTTTGCCGATCCATATTTTTGTCATTGCGGAAGGCGCGGCGTCACCGAGCGGCGCCGGGGGGGTGGCATGTCGCCGGCCGCTGACGAAAACAGACGGCGGCCGCAGCGCCTCTGGCGGAGATCGCCGGCAGCTCGTGTAGTGTCGGACCGTGTTGGAACTTCGTCATGAGGTCTTTATCAATCAGTTCCGGATTATGACTACCTCGTGGCTTTCAGAAATCAGCATCCAAATCTGTTGGAAAGGCGGATAAAGACTCTTCGGCAAAGGCGGAGGAGGAGACGCTCTGAGGCGTTATAAATCGGTAACGGTCACGGCTTATTTCCCACGATCAGGCGAGACGTTTCAGCGAAAGGATTCCACTCCACGCTCTTATCCCTCTTACGGGTCTGACTTGTGGCCATGCTGCTGCTTTGCTTGCTTGTGTTCTGATTAGCCTGTGGCCGATTTTTCCGGCACTTACCATTCATATGCGGGCGGCTTCTCTTCCGGTTCGCTCAGATGGGTGGTGCGGTCGTGTTTGCATGATCTATTTTTATTTATGCAGGGTTGGTAATTAGGGTAGAACATGTAATCACCTATACTAATCATGAGGTGCGGAATAACTCACCATGTTCTCTCTTGAACGAATAAGTGAGTAGAACTGAACTAAACTCATGACGTTGGATCATGACCCAGGGCTTCCATAAAGTCGTATCGTTGGTCGGCAAGTCCATTACCTGTAATGAGGATTTCAATGCTTGTTACGGATTTCTAAATGTTATCTTCTTTTACACGATAGACAGGCTCGCATTTCAGCTTTTCGACATCATCAGATATATCTGCCTAACTGGCGCACAATCACCCGAGACACCGAACATTTTGGGACCGGGCAGCCGATGAGCGGATTCCGTATTTAGCCCTCGGTTTCCTTTTCAGCGGTCAGTAACCCTTTCTTCCGCTTCCTCCCCTCCATGGCACCGATCGGGGGTCAAAAATCGGATCACCAACGCGGAAGTGGCTGTGTGTGTGTGCGTGTTTTCCGATGGATTTTACCGGCACTACCGGAGCCTGTTTACGTGGCCCACTTCTGGCGCGGCGCGGCGAAAGCGCGGGGAGGCGCGGGCGCGCGCGAAAGGGGAGCAGGCGGGGTGCGTGTGTGCGTGAACGGCCGATAACCGGGTCGGTGGCAGCGCGCCGAACGGTCCGCCGACAAACAGTGTGCGTGCCGGGCGCGGCGGCGGCCAACGGCCCGGCCGGTCACACCGCCCGGCCATGGGACGGTAAACGGGACGCCAGATAGGTGCCGCGGGCGGAACGGCGACACCGGACGGCACCGGAATAACTGACGGGTGCTAAACGGGATACAGGACGGGAGAAGAGATATTTAGAGCAATGATCAGACCTGACATCGCGACTGCACGGTGCTCGAACGTATTTTAAGCTCACAGATTTATAAGTTCAGTGCAGCTAATAGCGATTTGTGTATGCATAATCATTCAGTGAAACTGGCTCTTGGTATCAATCATGTGAGGATGATTTCTAGAGAAAAAAGCACGTTTTCCACATCACCGGTTGTAAGATGGAGTGTTGTAAGTCAAAGATAGGAGGGCTATAAAGAAAAATAAGTACCTATATGTTGCCAGCGCAAAAAAAAAACGTGTGCGAAAGTTTTCACATTCCCACTATCGTAAATCAATGTTCGGCAACCTCGTTCCAAATGGGCCGTCTCAGTCGCTGTTAGACAGCTCGGGCAGTCCATTGACTCCTTGCTGAAGTCTCATGGAATGCCAAGTCTCTGACCCGCGCCGTCCTCCGCCAGGTACTCTCTGCTGTCTCGCCAGCCGCGCCCATGCTGGAGGAACCGCTGAAGATGGCCCCGAGCCATGACCACACGGGCGGGCCGACCGGCGGCTACCAGGCTAGCCTGCACTCGCCGCCGCCAGCAGCGCCGCCGTCGCCGCCGCCAGACGCGCCACCATCGCCGCAGCAGTACCCCTCGCCGGCCGAGCCGCCTCGGCCGCGCGAGACCAGCTCACCCGACTACAGCCTGTACGGGTTCGGCGCGGGCCACGGCGGCTTCCCGGTGCCCGTGTACCTGGACAAACCCCGGGAGGTAGAGGAGAGGTCAGAGAACGGCCACCCGGAGCCGGCGCCCAGCCCGCCGCCGGCCGCCAACGGCCACCACGGCAGCCCGCGGCCGGCCGCGGACGGCGCCGCCTCGCCGCCGCCGGTGGAGCCGGGCTCTCCGCCCGCCGACTGGCCGCGCACCGACTCCGTGCTGCGGTTCGGAGACCGTCTCCACCCGCCCCCCTCGGCAGGACCGGAGCGGACCGGTAACGGAGAAGGAGACTGCGAGACCGGGACCGAGGACCGCGGACCGCGGACCACCAGCTCCCCGCCGGCTCCCGGGACTGAGACCGACCAGCGGCCCGAGGGAGACGCCGCGCCCGCGCCCGGCTTCAACGCCCTGCAGCGGCTGCAGCACGCGCTGGAGCAGAACGGCACGTTCAGCGTCTACGGCGAGGAGTCGCCGAACGGCGGCGGCGGCGGCGGCGGAGGAGGCACCGAGATCTACCAGTGCCATCTCTGCACCTACACGGGCAGCTCAAAGTTCCACTTCAGCCAGCACATGCACTCGCACTACGACTTCAAGTGCTCGCAGTGCGACTTCAGCACCCACTCCAACGTCAGCCTCAAGGAGCACATGAAGACGGAGCACAACATCGAGATCAAGGACTACATGGACGAGCCGGGAGTTCGCGTGCCGCGCGTCAACGCCTCCGGTAAGGTGCGCCTCCACAAGTGCAAGTTCTGCGAGTTCAAGACGGCCACCCAGGTGGAGCACTGGGAGCACCTGAAGGGCCACATCGCTCCCGAGAAGCGATTCTGGTGTCACGTGTGTCCGTTCATCACAGACGTCAAACACCACCTCACCTACCACCTGCGTAACCACTTCAACTCAAAGCCGTTCAAGTGCAACAAGTGCGAGTACTCGTGCGTCAACAAGTCGATGCTGAGCTCGCACATGAAGTCGCACACCAACTTCTACCAGTACCGCTGTGGCGACTGCAACTTCGCCGCCAAGTACGCCAACGCGCTCAAGAACCACCTGCGCAAGGAGAAGCACCGGCCGGGCATGGTTCTCAACCCGGACGGCTCGCCAAACCCGTTCGTCATCATTGATGTGTACGGCACGCGACGAGGACCCAAGATCAAGAAGGACGACAACGGCATGCCCATCCTGCCGTCATCGCTGCAGGAGAACTACGTCAACTTTATCCAGACGCAGAGCAAGTACATTACGAGTCCGACCAACCCGTGTAACAACTTCAGCTCGCCGTACCTGAAGTCAGAGCCGCCGCTGGACGCTGGCGAGGGCAAGCTGGCGCTGCCGCGCGGCTACATCCGCTGTGACATGTGTCCATACAGCACGCCGGACCGGGAGCAGCTGACCCGGCACATGATGAACCACATGACGCCCGACAGCCAGCAGCCCGAGGAGACCTCGCCCGCCTCGTCCAAGTCTGGAGACGAGGTCCGCGAGCCGCCTCCACCCCCACCGCCGTCCGGGCTCGGCAGGATGGAGCTGCTGCGCAGCGCGCTCGCACAGCCCGTGCGCCTGCCGACCAGCCACCTGTCCATGACGGCGTCCCCGCCGCCGCCGCCGCCGCCGCCTCCGCCGCCCCCGCCGCCGGCGTACCGCCGCCCGGAGCCCAGCGAGCCGGCCGCGCCGCGGCTGCCGCAGTACGACTCCCTGGCGGCCCACCGGGTGCGCGAGTACTTCAGCCGCGCGCTGCAGTCGCCGCTTCTCTACAACCTGTCGATGGCGGCCGGTCTGAACGGCGCGCCGCCGCCGGCCGCCGGCCTGCCGCTGCCCTTCAGCATGACCCGGCCGCCGCCGCAGCCGGCCCCCAGCCCGCCGCACACGCGCGTCGTCTCGCCGCGGCCCAGCTCGCCGCCGTTCTACGAGCGTCCGCCGCCGCAGAGCGAGTCTCCGCAGCCGAGCTCGCCGCCGACCGAGCGCGGCGACGTAGCGCTCGACCTGAGCCGACTCGGCAAGCGCTCGAGCAGCGACGAGTCGCCACCTCCTCCGACCAAGCACCGGCGCAAGGGGCGCGCGCAGAAGCTGGAGCTGATCTCCCAGCGTCTTCAGGAGGCGGGCGGCTCTCCGCAGCACTCTGCCGGCAGCCGGGAGCGCAGCAGTTCTCCGGAGCGCGGCGGCGAGGAGCCGACTGACTGGCGCTCCGGCGCGCACACCTGCCACAACTGCGGCATCGCCTTCAAGGACCTGGTCATGTACACCATGCACATGGGCTTCCACGACTACCGGCGCCCGTTCAGCTGCAACAAGTGTGGCGAGCAGTGCCGGGACGCCATCGCCTTCTTCCTGCACATCGCGCGCGTGCCGCACTCGTCCTAGGAGCGGCCGGCGCCTGCTGTGCCGCCGGCCCGGTGCCTCACCGTTGTCTCGTCACACCACCGCGTGCCTCGAGCTCAGCTGCTGTGTCTCAGTGTCTCACCATCGCAGCCTCACTGGTCCGAGGTGGCTGCATCTTGTTGATTGTTTTCTTTTTATTTCTGATAGTATTTTTGTTGGTCGGTTTTGAAAGCGCGACGGCCAGTAGAAGACGAATTTGCATATCTTGCCTGCATTTAATCGTGTGAGTCATTTATTGTTTATTTATGCGTTGTCGCTGTATTTGTATTTTTATGGTGGTTGTTCCTGAATATCTAGTCCGGGCATGACATCGTTGCTAGACTTCCTTGAAACAAAGGCAGTGACCTCTTCGTATCTCTATATCGACTGATGTTATTTTTCGTATCGTTGAACTTCATTTATAGGAAATCTTCAAACTTTTGACCATATTGTGGCCTTGACGTTAGTGCTCTGAAGTTCATTTCCGCCTCAGACTTTATTTCGGGTTCCGACTTGATATTGCTACAATAGTCTTTTGTAAATATTCGTGACGTTTTTCTTGTGCGCAAGTGGTATGTATTGCATTGATTGACCTGAAGCTAGGCACTTCACAGTCCAACGTATTTGTATCGTTTGATACACAGTGTGCATGCATGTATTGTAAATGTTAGAATAGGCATTCAAGGATATCTCAGGGAATCGCAGGGATTTTGTGTGCACGTTTAGTTACACTAAGTGCATTTCGCATGAGCTCACTGGCATTTTATCGAATCGATCTCTGGAACTGGCATTTCCCCTGTGGCGCTGTCTCTGCCGGATACGGCCACCTGCTCATAGTGTATGATCTCCACAGAGCGTGTTCGCCGCTCTCTCCTCTCACTATAGGTATTAGTACCTCTGGGTAGTTCCACCCCTGTACGCCGGGACAGCGGTGCCCAACTGCCGCCGCCGTCCGAACCATGTCCAGACCTCGCACCGCTCCCAGTACAAAGGTAGACCCGCGCCCGGAGTGTCACCACTGAGCGACCGCAGTGTTTCGGTGTTTGTCTCATGATTGTCTCCGGGGAGACAGGCGCCAGGGCGGTGTTTGTCTCGATCAAGATCGCGCCGGATCTGACGGGCCTTATTGGTTGCCTCTATGCATCTCAGGAAGTTCAGTTCCGGTTGATTGGCCCGCTGGTGTAGAGCGGCGTGAACAATGTGTACAACGTACTGACAGAAACGGGTTTTCATTGCCAAATGTGTGAACAGTCGGCGTGTGAGTGTGGGTGAGTGCTTGCATCGTTTTGTAATTTCCTAGATCTGGATGTAAGATTGTTTATTCTTTTGTGGTTGGTGAATGGTAGCTCTCTAGTATGCTAACTTCATGAATAAACCGGCAAACCATTCGGCCTGTTTCTGGGGATATCGCAAGGCCCAGTTGCAGGACCGAGTCTTGGTAGAAGCTGCTTTGCGTGATTGTCGATACTGAATTTCGTATGAAGGTAGGAAACAGGTCGTGGCTAATCTATAACGTTTAATTAAATAGACGTTCAATCAAATAGATCGATGTCGGTTGTGGTACTTTTAGAAGCAGGTATGTACCAGTTATAGGTGACATCCCATGGACAAGGTCATCTAAATCTTCACCACCAGTGTTCTTATGAGGGCTCTTTCGTAGCCCCATGCAGAAAACAAATGGCTTGTTTCATTTATTATTGCACATACTTTCGGCGTCATTGACTATAGATATTATCGCACATATTGAGCCACCACGCGGTGGAAAACAGCAATTTCTACTAAAAGCATCCAGCGAAGCGATTTCCTCTTATATAAAAGCTACACTGTAAAACCTGCACCATCAACACCAAACATTGGACACAAGCACGAGTCTCGAACATGATCACATTGGACAGACGCTGCTGTCACCTGGAGCCGACACCTCGCAGCTCCAGTACACAGTTATCACGCTAGGTGGCACTCAAGTCGCGCGCGCCGCGCTCACCCGCTCACCGTATTATGTGCGGCTTCTCACCGCATCGCAGCTGCCGAAAAGTCAACCGCTCACCACAACCCGAACTCGCTGGATAGGGCCTCATGTCACAGTGGCCCGTGTCCGTGTCCGTGTCAGTGACCCGCGGCCGTGGCAGACGGCGGGCCGGCGCCGGCGCGGGGTCACGCGTCGGTAGTCTCCTCCTCCAGGGTGGCGTCGATGAGACTCTCGGCCCTGCTGGCGGGCCGCGGCAGGCCGCGTGTGGTACCGCCGCGCAGCACCTGCCGCACCTCGTCCGGGGTGAGCTGGCGCGGCGCGGCGCTCTCGGGCAGGCTGAGTCGGCCTGTCCGCAGCACCTCGCGCACCTGCTCCGGGGTCAGGTCACGGGGCAGACTCCGTGACACGGGCGGCACGCTGTCGGCCGGCAGCTGGCGCAGCAGGCCCAGACTGAATGAGCGCTGGTGACCGAGCGGCGGGGCGGGCGGCCGCCGCGGGTATCCCTCCTCGGTCAGCACGGCTGGCGGCGCGGCCGGCGCCGGCGGAGGCGCCCGCTCGGCCGCCGGCCGGCGCATGGAGCTGCCGAAGCGGCGCAGCGAGCGGCGCAGCGGTGCCGGCATCTGCTCCATCAGCAGCGAGGCGTAGCTGGGCGGCGGGTCCGAGGGCACGCCGCGCTCGGCGGCCGAGCTGGCGCGGGCGGCGGCTCCCTCCTCTGCCCGCTCAGCCGGCGCCGCCAGCTGGCGGACCGCGCGCATCGAGCGCCGCATGCTCTGTCGGAGCATCTTGGCGAGCCGGGCGCCAGTGGCGGTGCTGTAGCTGGGCGGCGGCGTGTACTTGGGCGGCGGGTCCGTGTAGCGGGTGCGCGTGCGCTGCACTGTGTGCTCCTCCTCCTCCTCGGCCGTCACTCTGCCCAGCATCGCCTCGTTGTACTCGGGGCGGTACAGACTCTGCACGCGCTGAAACCACAGAGCAGAGAACGATTAGCGTCAAACCGGAAACAGCCTATACATATGATACGGCTTTGCTAGTTACGGAGCGAGCGAAGCGAGCGAAGTCTTTCCTTAGATTAACGGAAATTTCTGAGTATGAGCGGCCGGCCGGCCGGCCGGCCGGCCGGCCGGCCGGCCGTGCGGACGCTTTTGCGAGGCTTATATCTCAGCAACCACTTGACCGATTTACACGCGGTAATTTTTGTAGGGTAGCTTCATTCCTTCTACCAAGTATTGGACCATTCCCGATGCATATAGGTGACCCCTTATGCACGTGCCACGTGCAAAACGAAGAGGTGTCAGTTTTGTAATTGTTGCAATATCTCGGTAACTACTTGGCCGATTGCGCTGAAAGTTGGTATGTAGGTAGGCACCCACTAGGCACTGCATATCCATGTGCCAGAGTTGGGGTGCTGCTGCACGTGCGCACGTGCAGGGGTCGTTTCCAGATCTCGAGAACGGCTGGACCGATGGCGCTCAAATTTGGTACACGGTTAGGGACCAGTTAGTAGGGTGCCGTGCACAAGTCAGTTGGGACCCATTTTGCACGTGCGCACGTGCAGGGTGCCGCTCCCAGATCTCGAGAACGGCTGGGCCGATTGTGCTCAAATTTGGCACATCGCTAGAAACCGGTCATTAGGGTGCCGTGCACGAGTCAGTTGGAGGTGCCCCCTCGAAATTTCGCACGTGCAAGACTCAACCCCTCGCTCGCTCCGTTAGTCGCCCCAAAAGGCGCTATACTGGTAGTTACTTCGTAAAACAACTTATTTCTCACAAGGACGTTGAGGCAATTGATTCACTAAACCCATTCCGTCACATCAATGCCATATCATACCTATGCGGTACGACATCGGCCGAATGGCTTAAAACAAGAAAACATAAATAAGAAATATGAAACAGCTACTCGTACTATCTAGGGCAGACATGTCGCTTGAAACCGTATGTCAGAGCGTAACTACAAGCGCTATTCAATCTCGACGGCTGCAGAACGTCGCATAATGCCGTGCGGCACAGCATAGCTTCAGGCGCTATCCGCTGCTGCCACCTAGCGTCAGGAATCAAAACTCGTTTTGTGTCATCCGGCACAGCATATCTTTAGGCGCCATTCACTGCTGCCATCTACCGACAGATATATAAGCTCGCTAAATGCCTTGCGGCGCAGCATAGCTACAGGCGCTATTCACTGCTGCCACCTAGCGTCAGGAAGGAAAGCTCACGCAAGGCCGTGCGGCACAGCATAGCTTTAGGCGCTATTCTTTACTGCCGTCTAGCGTCTCGCAACGACATGCGGCACAGTATAGCTTCAGGCGCTTTTCACTGCTGCCATCTAGCGTCCGCTCTGGAAACTCGCTCTGCGGTATGCATATGCCTACTACACCGCTTATTAATGCTCAGCGCTGTTGTCTTGCACAGCCGATCTGCTTATCACCCTCCCTCCCCATCCACCGTTCACTTACGTCGTAGAGGTCGCCCTCTCCGGAGCGGACGAAACGGATGGCCTGTACGAGTCCGACGATGGGTACCAGCAGGATGGGGAACATCATGAGCATGGAGCCCAGCTGGCGCACCCACAGGCCCCAGTAGCCGTAGCCGGAGCTCTCCTCCCACGTGAAGATGGCGTCGAAGCCGCCCGTCCGGAAAGACACCACCGAGAGGACCTGGCGGTGGGCGGAGAAACACAGAAGAGCGTCAGACATGGGCAGGACTCGAGCGACAGAGAATGATCATTGCGCTTCATTCAAACGAATTACACACCGAGACGTGGGAGCTCTGAGAAGCAAACGTAAAAATCCATGACCGTATTAGATTGAAATAAAAGACTGGAAGCAGACATAGTACGTTTAACATAATACGTTTAACATAGGTCATACACTTAATACATTCGATCGTGAGGTGATAACTGTATGAACATCAAGCGTAGCAATTTCTCACCAGTAGTGCCATAGGCATCAGGACGTGCCAGACGAAGCTGAGGAAGGGCCCCGCCCAGTTGGTCATGCAGCCGTTATTGGCTATCAGAATGGTGACCACTTGAGTGGACGCGAACGGCGTGCCGCGGATGTAGAACACGGCAAACAACTGCAGGGTGGAGGGGAACGGATCGTCAGACACAAGGCGAGTCGAGGGGGCGGGTCACAGTCTGGAGTACTACAAGTCTGTCTACTTTAGCGAATCGCCACATAAATTGCATAAACTTGAACAATGAGTGAGAATTTGAGGACTTCAATGCAAATGAAGCGTGTCTAAAATACATAAACGATAAGCATCTACTAGCTTGTTACTCTGATTGAAGCACTCAAGATCGATACGAAACAAAATTGATATATGACTAATGCCAGCACAAACCTCAAACAGTCATGACCTACAAACAACCCGCCTTCTCCAGCCCCACATGAGGCTACCACCCTCCCACCGCACGCGCCAAACCGCACCGCTCACCTCCAGCACGTAGATGACGACCAGCCACCACAGACAGCCGACGCAGTAGTCGAGGAAGTAGATGATGTGGATGCCGATCTCGGTCATCAGCGGCAGGCTGAGGCCGAAGCCGGTGACGCAGACGATGAACGTGGTGGTCAGCTCCCAGGAGCGCATTTTGGCTGGACAGACGGAGATGACGGCCTCGACCACGGCTCGCCAGATGGCCAGCTGGGGAGGGGAGAGAGGTCAGAGTCAGAGACGGGCTGGGTGGGTGGCATACCACACCGTGCTGTAACTAAGATGATTCTATAAACAAAATTTCAATCGTATCTTACTCCGTTGTTTTCCCTTTTCAACCGTCCCACCTCTTTCACTGCTCCCTGAGTCACGTGAGATGCTCACCATTGCCCAATGCCCATGCTCATCCCCGTCTCTCTTCTCTCTCTCTCTCTCTCTCTCTCTCTCTCTCTCTCTCTCTCTCTCTCTCTCTCTCTCTCTCTCTCTCTCTCTCTCTCTCTCTCTCTCTCTCTCTCTCTCTCTCTCTCTCTCTCTCACTCTCTCTCTCTCCCTCTCCCCCTCCCTCCCTCCCTCCCTCTCTCTCTCCCTCTCTCTCTCTACTCCCTCTCTCTCTAATCCCTCTCTCTCTCTCTCTCACCTGTTGTCCCACTCCAAACAGCAGCAGAGCCAGGTAGAAGACCAGCGCCCAGAACGAGCTGATGCCGCTGCCACCCACCACCGCCAGAAGCGAGGGGAACAGCTCGGTGGCCAGCCGGTGCACCTGGTAACCCGAGCTCCACACCGTGCCCTCCTCGCTGGCTGCCGACAGCTTGATGATGACGCCCGAGACCAGGTTGGTGTAGTGCTTCACCTCGGGCGGTGTGCCGCCGGAGTGCGAGGAGCCGATACCGGGCGCGATCAGGAACCGGCTCCGCTGCTCCGTCTCTGTTGAACGAGAGAGCGGTAGAAGGTGTGGTCAGAGACTGATGTGAAAATTTACCTTAACCCGCGACCTGGTGGGGGGGGGGGCTATTTTTTGCCCCCCCCCCTCCAGACTTTTCGATATATCTCCAGAACCGCTGCGCCGATCGTCACCAAACTTTCAGTACCCTCCCGGACATCAATTTTACACATTGTGACCAAAAATTTTTCCAAAAGCTATGATAGGTTGGCCGTAAATGACGTCAGAGTGACGTCATGTTCTGCCGTTTTCGACCCAAAAAAGGGTTTCGCGGGAAGAGCTGTCAGGCCTATAGCTTTGCAAATACAGAAAAATGTTTAAGACATAAAAGCTGTAGAATTGACAGGGCTACAAAACTGCTATCTCGAATTTTTGAATTTTTTTGATTTTGACCCCCAAAAATCAAAAAATAGATTTTTTGGATATAATAGTCAAAAAATCCAAAAAGTTTTTTGAATTTCGCAAAAACCGGAATATATGTGATAGTCCTTACCGCCTTCCATCCACATACCAAATTTTAGATTGATACCTCTTTTTTTGGCGAAGTTATAGCGAAAAAACTGTTCAAAATTGATGACGTCAAATTTTCAAACTCAATTTTTAGCAATTCTAGACCTCGTAGTGCAAAAAAAAAGACCACCATTAGACTCCCCGTGACGAGCTGCATCGAATCGATACCCATTTTATGCAAAGATATCAACTTTGAAATTTGACCTTTTTTGACCTGACCTTGACCTGACCTCCACCAGAAAGTGACCTAAACCGTACCTGATGGTCTTATAACCAACACCATTGGGTTGGAAATGAAAAACTGGCCATAAAACATGCATCGCACAACCTTAGTAAAGTTGGGTTCATGTGGTGACCCTTGGTGACCTTTGGTGACCTGACCTGTGACCTGACCTGGTATGACCAGTGACCTCTAATAGCAACATATGTACTAGACAACTGACGTCTTATCGCTGATTTTCGACAAAATGCGTTTTACTCGGTGTTATAGCGCTTTCCCTAGAAGCCCCGTGAACGGTGAAACATTTTATCTTTGACCTGACCTGTGACGTCATCGGTGACCCCGAGGTCAATAAACTTTGGTTTCCCTCGACAAATTTGACAGGGCTATCGAACACCGTTTGAATTTTGCGGATCCGTCCAGTAGTTTCGGAGATACGAGGGGGGGCAAAAAATAGCCCCCCCCCCACCAGGTCGCGTTATAAACAGACCCCACCAGGGCGCGGGTTAACGACCAAATAAACGTGTTCTCTCAGCATCTCCCTTCAGGTACAGCGTAAATAGTATCTGGATTTCAAGCGTCGATATTAGCATACAAATCCAGATACTGGTCCGTGTATCTTGAAAGAGCTCTCAATATTTAGCGAAGCAATGGAATACCAAAATATGTCGATAATGTCATGCGAGGCATGAGACCAGTGTTCATTACGATCCATTGAAAATACATGTGTCGTCAGTTACAAAAAATAATAACCCTTTCTATCCTCAGACCTCAGTATCCCCACGGCGCTCTTACCGAAGGAGCTGGAGCCGATGATGTAGCCGATGTCTCCCACCCGCAGCGCGTGCAGACAGGCGTATCCAAACAGTGCCGATAGGAAGAGCACCACTAATGTGACAAAAGCCACCAGCGTGGTGTCCCGCCGAAGATTGTGGTTGAATTTGTTATGTGATGTCACAGCCATCAGCGCGGCGCCGTGCAGGCCCCAGATCATGAACGTCTCCCGGGCAGCCACCACCCATGGCTGTGGGGAGGGGAAGGAAAGTGTCAGAGCGGCCATCATTCACAACTGGGAGGGGGGGGGGGGGGCAAGGCAGTGTCAGAGCGGCCACCACCCACGGCCGGGGGAGGGGAGGGAGAGTGTCAGAACGGGCCGAAATCTGTCCACGACTGAGTACACGAGAGGAGTCAGAACGGTTACCAACCAATTCTGGGAAGGCAATGGGTAAGTCATAGAGATGAGTCATAAATAGCGCGACATTTCGGCTCTTTGGATCCCGGACTATATAAAATGCGCGTTTAGACACTGCCTAACACTTGTAGCAGGCTCAATTATGGAATGCGGAACTTGAACAGGGACTGGCTCACAATTTATTGCATTATGTGTCCTAGCTCTTGCACTTACCACGGTGCTCCAGAAGACGTTATCGAAGAGGACCTTGTCGGTGAAGAACTCGTTGAGTCCCTCCGTCCAGGAGAGCAGCTGGATGCAGACGGTGAAGAAGGACACCATGGCCAGCAGTACGATGGCGTACACCACCTTACCGTACGACCGCAGACCTGAGTGTACGAACGGAGGGGAACGGGGTTAGCTGACGGTGGAGAGAAACAATGCATACTTGAGAGCCAATGACGTACTTATAGCATTGATACATGCTAGTAAAAATATCGCTAAAAATGCAGCATATTCATTCGATCACTATTTATCTGTAAATTTATGACATTTTTTAGTTTCAAAGTCCAATTTGAATAAGCATATCCTATGCGCTGGGGCATAAATGGGGTATTCAAAAACACGGTTTACGAGCAAACGATCTATCGCCAGAGTATCAGTGCACTTATAAGCTACACGTTTTACAAGAAGCACGCTCCACTTACCTCTTCCTAGAGAGAGGTACACCAGAATCCAGGTGACGGCCAGGTTGAACGAGATCTCGAAGCCCAGGTAGCCCACCTCCGGAAGGCCCGTTCCTGACATGTTACGCTGCAGAACGCGTTGGCTGGAAAAACGAGTAGGTAATGTGAAATGTCGGCACATTGTCATGCATATGGTTCTTGTAGCCATCAATAACAAACGGCTAACTGAGCAATATCGGTATGCACCCGTACAATTACGACATTGGTAGTTAACGAAGAGGAACTGACGCAAAAAGTTCCGTTCAAAGAGAAAATATCGTTAAAGAATAAAGTGCTTGCTATTTGGTGCAGTTCAAATCAAGAGACGATGTTGGAGAAAAATATCATTCAATGCCTTTCCAACAGCGATCTCAGTCGTAGCCTCTCCGTTTTCAAGCCCCGCGCTCCTGTCGTCCCCGAGCCCCAACTCACTTGAAGTACTGTGGCACGGTATAGGTGACGAGCTCGGCGTACCCGACCGAGCAGTTGCCCGGACACGCGGCCCACTTGTACCGGTCGTAGCTGGAGACGAAGCTGTCGCGCAGGTAGACGAGCATCCACGAGATGGGCACCACCGTATAGACGCCCAGTATCAACTCGGCTAGTACCGCCGCCAGACCGATACCCTGTGGTGAGGGGCAGGGTGGGTTAGGTTAAGGTGGGTCAGGGTGGGTTAGGGTGAGTCAGGGTGAGTCAGGGTGAGTCAGGACTGCGCTGGCACGACCGCCAGACCGATGTCCTGCGACGAGGGACAGGGCAGGGAAGGTCAGGGTGGGCTAAGTTTGTCTCAGGGCAGGGCATGCAGGGTCAGGGCAGATAAAATCGGGGCGGATCAGATGACGGCTAAGCAAGGCAGGGTACGCTACAAAAGAATGGGACAGGATAGTGGGCGGAACGCACCTACAATGGCAGTTAACGGCATAAGAAGTTCACAGAGTGGGATCTGATTAAGGCTTAGGAAGAGTGTCGTGCCAATAAGAACGGCGAAGAAAACGAAAGTCTTAATTGGCGTTGACGAATTAGTTGACGAGGTTAGTGGGACAGCCTCTAAAAATAAACCCGGCCTCGGGTGTCCACCCACATCGAGGCGAAGCCAGAAATCGGTATGTACTGCAGCTTATTATAAAGACCGTCCAGCCCCCACACTTTTTTGTGAAGCTAACGGTTTGACGACCCAATGATGGACGGATAAGCCGGATCTGGTCACTGATCCGGGTGGGTATTAATTAACGGAGCGCACGCTCGTGACTGTGGGCAGACGTCGGAGTTTTATTATCGGATTCAGCATTATCAGAGCTGGAAAGTTCGGAAATGAGAGACCTGGCTTATTACGTAAAGATAGTTAAGTTTGGCAACACAAGGGAGAAGACAAGAGAGAGATAGAGAGAGCGAAATGGATGATATACATGATGATATAGAGAGCGACAGAGGGAGAAAGAGAGAGAGAGAGAGAGAGAGAGAGAGAGAGAGAGAGAGAGAGAGAGAGAGAGAGAGGAGAGAGAGAGAGAGAGAGAGAGAGAGAGAGAGAGAGAGAGAGAGAGAGAGAGAGAGAGAGAGAGAGAGAGAGAGAGAGAGAGAGAGAGAGAGAGAGAGAGAGAGAGAGAGAGAGAGAGAGAAAGGGAGATACGGACAGGCGGCAGACAGACACAGAGACTGCTGTTTACCTTGAATATGGGCGATATCCGCCACATGTCGACGATTCCGGAGCCGATGTACTGTCCCATGGTCATGTGCAGCGTCATCAGAGGCATCCCAACGAGCAGCGACAGAATGAAAAACTGGATCACGAACGCCACTGAAAACAACACATGTGACCGTTCAAACACGAATTATGGCAACGAGCGCTCCGGTTCAAAAGTAAGTCGACACGTTTATGTACACATTACACATTTAACACATTCCGATAAAAGGAGCAAAAGGTTGTAGCATATTATGGTTACTCGTTCACGTTGCCTTGTAGTGTACTTTTCAATAGCAACAGAACTATACGAGTGTTGGTGGCTTTTCAAGCCTCTCCCGACCTTTCACTGCTCGAAAAGTCCATTTGCCCTTTTATGTGATGCGACATTATTGACTTTGGACACATTCCTGATAATTGACTCAGTACACTCTTATCACTCCCGCTCCCTCATGTCATCCTGCCACCCACATATCCGTATTTCCCTACTCCCTACTCTCCCTTCCACCGTACTCTTGCCCACTTACCTCCATAGGTGCCTCCGAACAGGGCGAACCGGCATATGGCGCCCAGGCCGATGGTACACGAGAGACAGGCCAGCGGCGAGGAGTAGTTGTGCTGCCAGAAGCCCCTGGCGGCGCGGCGCGTCTCCTCCTGGTCGCTGAGCTCCGGCACGGTCTGATACACGCCCAGGAAGGAGGAGCCGCGCGACAGCAGCCGGTTGGCGCGGCTGGAGCTCGCCGCCGGCCGGTCGGCGATCGGAGACGGCGCCGGTAGCGGAGGGGGAGGCGGTGTGTCGAACGACACACTGAAACAGACAGGGACAGAGGTCAGACGGGGTTACACAGGTCACACAGGTCACACGGGTCACATAGGTCAGTCGGGGAGCACACAGGTCACACAGGTCACACGGGTCACAAAGGCCACACGGCAGCGTAAAGGCCGACTGAGAAATTCGGCGGAAAGAGGCGGTGAGAGACCGGACAGAGGTCACAGTCCACGACAGGGAGGTGCAGCTAAACAAACATGTTTGTAACGTGGGGTACTGAGTATCGCTTAGTCAACGGTTCCGTTTTATGAATTGGGGGAAACGAACATTTGCACGAAAATTCACTCAAATTGAGTCTTGCACGATCAAGGCGGGCGACGGGAAATTCCATCGTCCCGTAACCATCATCATGATGATGCAGCATCAATAAACGCTCAGTCATTCAATTAGCCGCTCATTACGTGTACATGGAGCCAATTAACTGTATGAACACAATGCGACGACCTCTAGCCCGACAGGATCATGACAATGAGTTCCCAGCACACTCCACTTAGTCATAACCATGCGACCGCAATAGCGCATCTCAGCATGGAGTTCATTCATCCAAAATGCTCTGTCAGCATGTTACATCACCTACAGACGTGCCGGCTGCTCAGCATTGGACGGTACTGCAGAGGTGCGTCCGTTTTATGACTATGAGAGGGAGTGGGGCTCCACCGGCACCGTATGTATTGTCTGCACTCTGCACCGTTAGCCAGCGATACAGCTGATCGGTGCATTGTGGCCCGTCCTAGCCCAGCTGTGTAAGCTCTGGTTGTGACCGGTAAGCCGTGACGACTCGAGTGTCACGACCGTGTGGGGACTAAGTGCAGGACTATGTGCAGCAGGTCGACGATGTCGGATCAGAGGGAAGAAAAGGACGTCTGGTGCTGTCAGAGATTCAACCATGCGAAGAGTGGAAAGGACGTCTGGGGTCGTCGGCAGTTGAACAACATCGCGAGAAGAGGGAAGGACGTCAAACAACATCCCGTATCTGCACAACTCACGCATAACCGTGACTCTGGAATTTAGGCCCACCCAGCTAGTCTCTCCTCTCCGAGTCCGACCTCTGTTATTCCTCCCATCTCCCCACTCCCGAGTAATTCCAATTCCTAGCTCTGCCGACTCCGGCGGCGGCTCAAGAAGGGCCGATCCATCGACCCACCCATGCCATCGGTCTCACCCCAGCCACGCTCTGGTCTGTGCCGTGTAGCGGTTCGGTGGGCGCGGAGCGGTCCTCGTGGGCGTCCCATTGACACCGGCCCGATGACGTGATGTCGGGGTGACAGTGAGGCGGGGTGGGGCGGCATCAGACTGACGCGGCTCTGTAGCGTGCCGTGCAACGTGACTGTGACCTTATGGTGATGATGGTTCACACCTGATCGACGCCAGTTAAGTCAGGATCGCTTCAAATCGAAATGTTTAACTAGGTGAACGTTCTGGTATTCATTGTTGACTGTATATTTTGTTCTTTCTTTCCAATGGCTAACGGATCAGGATACCGGAGCATTCAAAAGACGGCGAGCGCCTGCTGTCACCGTTTAGACCGTGTGCCTGTGCCACTGCATTCCGCTGTTTTCTGTCAGAAATGTCACAACAGTCACCTTTCCGACTGTCACCAGGCCTTGCCGGCTGCACCTCGACCGCCGGCGGTGATCTCATGCCGCTGACGTCACCGCTAAGCTCCGCGAGTTCTCAACCCAAACTGTGGCGCATCATAAACCTTTCAACCACTGCTGCACACTACCTCGTCCACTAGCGCTACTCTGCTACGTACAGCAGCACTCGGCCGAATTCGAATTAGCAGCGATCACGTGTGTCTTACTGTTTCCGAAATCGGCCCTGCCCTTAGTGACGTCACACTCTGCACGTCAGCGTGCACGGAGTGGAGGACGGGGGCGGTAACACGGGCTCAAATATACGACACGGGACAGAAATAGCGAGACAGGCCGATGAACGAACGGTGGACAGACGGATAAAACGATGGATGGACCAATGAACCAATGAAATACTAAATATTGAAATTATCCAGCAACAATATATAACAAACGAGCAGAAGAAAAAACGAGCAAACGATCAATCAATCGAAAGAGCGTGTTAATGAATGAAGTAGCGAAGAAACGAGCGAATAAATACACTTACTAACGAGATAACAAACGAATAAACCGTCTAACCGGCCAGGAAACATGATTGAAAGAATGCTGTCCGTATGGAGGAAGGGATAGACGGACGGACGGACGAACGGACGGAGGGAAGGATGGACAGTGCGAACGAGGATGGATGACGGACGAAGATGACCAGATAGCCATACGGACGGTGGGCTGGTATGATGGACCCGGGGCGGTAGTGAGAGTACGCTGTCGAGTGCGTCGGGTGCGTGTGCCCACCGGCCGAGCCGCGCTGTCTGCTCCGCGCGAGCTGATGGGTCCGTCGATATGGTGACACGGAATGTGGCGGCTAGCGGGGTGAGGTGCTGTTGTCACCGGAGAAGCGCCGAGGACGGTGAGGCGGAGAGCGACATGGAGTAGGATGGGGAGGAGAAGAAGCACATGAACGGGCAGTGAAAGATTGGCACACCTGTGTCCTCCCTGCAACACTGCTTTCCAAAAACAGCTTCAGTTTGGCTGTATGCTTGGGTGTTTATCAACCTCTGCCGCTCCGCTCCTTCTGTAGCATCGCCCTTGCCACCAATGCCCGTTCAAATGCACACTATGCCCCAAGGCCGACTGGACGGCGCGGTGCGGCAGTACCGACCTGTCCACCTGTCCGTCACGTCCGTATAACCGCCGGTCCGTTTCAGCCGCGTATTGTGCACTGAGCCGCGCCAAACGCCACGCACGCCCTAACAGACAGTGACGTGACGCCGGGACACGGCGTTACGTGACGTTACGTGACGTTACGCGCCGTGACGCCGTGTGAGGTCAGAGGCGGATCAGCCCTCGGGGCACTGCGGGAACTGGGGCAGGGTCGGGGAAAGGTCACGACCCTCGCCATGGCGGCCGCCGCAAACAGTGCACCCAGCAGCGAAAGCGGGACAAACAAAACTGAGAACGACAAAGGCCAGGGGTTTATGTCATCGACCGGGAGCTGACCTCAGGAAGTTTCTGTCTGGGAGCATGTCTAGGAGGATGTCTAGGTGGATCTCTGAGAGGATGTCTGGCTGAGTCCGCGGCGAGTGGTGGATAGGCTCCATCTAACGGTGATCGGTTCGAGCGTTCTGTCTGAACAAATCGTGAGTCAGCTGGGCCGAATGACGGCCGATACACAGAGCCGTCAGCGGAGCGTGGCGAAATCCCAATCAATGGTCAGACGGCGCCGAATGCGGCACCGTGCCATCTGTCTAGTAATTACGGCACGCTGTTCAGCGTCCACGCTGCTCCACATCCAGGGCGTGTTCCACCGCCACCACCACGCTCCCCTACCCACAGCTGGGCCACGCCCGACTCCCGACACACCCACTTCCCAAACCGCGTCCCACCCAGGCTCTGTCCCGCTACCACGTTCCAGCCATACTCCATCCCGTTCATTGTGGCCGTTTTCACGACGGAATAGCAGGCATCTATTTAATCCCCATTTGATCCTTAAGTTCCTCAGGAATTTTAGTAGTTCTTTTTAGTAGGTTCCCCAGCTTTCGAATGAATGGTGCGTTAGTTTGCTATTTTTCTATTAAATATCACATCGATTTACTTTATCTAATGATTTATCACTAATATCAACATAAAGCGTAAGCACAATTATAAAATTATGAAATTATTAAATACTAGTACAATAGTTAAAAAAAGATACTGAGTTGCCAGGCTACAAAGAATATATTCATTTATGGCGCACGACAGACATTTAGAAAGCAGCGCCCTGTTTTATTGCACGCTGCTAGCCGCTTCCATGGGGTTTTGCAGGCCGTCGTCATTGGTCGTTACACGTATGATGTCACGCGACTTGTGGCCTGTCACGGCTATTTAATGATCTCCACTAAATGAATGCAACAATGGCCTTTTAAGTTGATCTCTGTGGCCATCTGTCTATGGAGCGACCAATATGAAAGTTGGGTGAATTTACCGGGGTTACATGACTATGAGCAAGCAAATGTGTATCAGGAATGGATTTAGGTGGAGAATTGCGCTGGACCATGAGTGCTCGAACGCTCCCAATTCCACGCCTGTTTGGCTTTGGAGCCGAGACAGACGATGCGGGTCAAGGTCACCGCTGGGGTAACGGTGGATTGGGTGCGCCCGAGCACCCGTAACGCGGCACAATTCTCCATCTATGGATTTTCCTATTCGCTCAGCATTGTGATAGGCGTTCGTAATAGCATTTACTCTGCTCATGTACCTATCCCCGGTTATTTAAAAGAAATTTTTGTGGGGGAATATCACGGCTTTAGGTACTCGGTGGCCCTATTCACGACTTTCAAAGAATGCTCCGATAACTAAACACCGCACAGACCTACTGCATTAGTGAATCTGACAGAATGTCTGTGGAATTACATCCCCCCTCACCACACCCCTAAAAACTCATCCAGTGTCCAAAACCACTTTTATCGACTCGCCAAAAAAAAAAAACACACACACACATACACACACAAAGCATGGGGCATGTCAGCTCTCAGTTCATTTATTATTGTCTTTACCATGGTTCAATTGCATTGCGCGATTTAAAGCACGTGAGTGCCTATATAGTATATATGTAGAAAATAATATCTACAGCAAAACATCCAAAATTACAAAGGCTACAATGCTTAAAAAGTAGGTTCATCAAGGAAGCCCATTTTTACTTGCGTTGTGTTCCCAACCATGCGATTCCAACGCGGGCTATTCGCAACGTCTGTAAGGCACGTTAACAACTGACAGGCCGCCACCGCTGCCACTTATTCATAGATGGTTGATATCGCAGCTTGGGCGTCAGCAGCGCGGCCCACAACGCGTCGGCGCCAGCGCACGCAGCTGTTGGCACTCGGCAGCCGGTGTTGCGACTTAACGGCCGGCCGGCCCCATGAAGGAGAA